GAGGAGGAGGAGGAGGAGAAAAGGGAAAGAGTGGAAGAAACTTGCTCAGCCCGGGTCCTGCAGGGACTGTGATGAGTGGAAACCGAGCTATAAACGGGAGCCCCTGGGGCCTCGCCAGTTTCCGCGCCCTGGGGAGGCGGGGCCCAGGACTCCCGTGGGTCTTCGGGTCGCGGAGAGGGCACACCGGTGCGGGAGGGACAGCTGGGACCCCTGAGAAAGGGGGTTCAGCTCCCCACATCACACAACTCCTCAAAATATCGCTCTGCTGCCTTGTTATTGCTGCAAACCGTAGCACACTCTAAAACCCAGGAGTCCAGGCCTCCAGTCTCTCCTTTCCCAGGACCCCGCAGTCCGGGCCCAGCCCCTCTCCCCATTCCGCGGGGGCCGGGCCCCTGGGCCTTGGTTGCCAGGCGACGGCTGGGAGGCGGCGGTGCCCGGGATGGGACAGGCGGGGAGGCTGGGAACTGCGCAGCTTGTACTGACGGCTCCCTGAAGCCCAGCTGGGGCGTTCCCACGCTGCGCAGCTGGCCGAGCAGGTGGGAGGAACCCTGAGCTTATTGAGGGGTCTAGGGTCTGGAGAGATGGGATCCGGGGTCTGACATTTGTGGACCTGTAGGGATTGAGGTCCACATTTAGATTCTCAGTTGCTCCTGAGCTCTTAGACTCCAGCCTCCCTAAATGGCAGGGGCTTGGATTTCCAGGACTGTAGGGACTGGTGGTCGAGATCTCTGATGACCCGAACTCCCGGTGCTTTGAGGCAAGCAGCATGGTGCAGTTGGGTGATGATCAAATATCTGGTCTTAAGTCTTAGAATCAGTGGATTTAACCACAATCTCTCTCCCATCCCCATACGGACCCAGGAGGATTTGAAAAGCTACAGACAGTAACATCTGTCCGAAGTCCCGTGGGGGGAGGGAGGCGGTAGGATTGGAGACCTGAACTGCTGGGTCCTTGGAGAGAGGAGGGTCCTGGGGGCCCAGACTCCTAATTCTGAGGGCTTCTGGGTTGTGGATCCAGGGCATGGATGTTGAATTAGGATAGGCTCAGATCTAGGACTCCTGAGTCTTGGCGAGGAAGTCAGGTGATGAGACTATTTTTCCAGACACCTGACATCGCTTCCCCTTCCTGGCTCTCTGGGGTCACAGGCATGGAAAAATGGAGAGCCTGAGGTCCCCGGAGCATGCAGAGAAGGAAAACAGCCAAGATGGAAGGTAGAAGGTTTGTGCTAATTAAAGGTCCCAGCAACTGACAGCTCTACACCCTGATCTCCAGGGACACCATCTGGTGAGGGCCTCATGGCAGACCCTCCCAGGTCTGCATCCAGCCCAATTCCCAGGAGGTGTGGGGGGCAGTTGGGAAAGGGAGTGTGGGAGGAGGGCAAGGAGTCAATAATGGAAAGCAGGGGAGAAAAACCACAGGGTGCATCAAGGGTGGAGCTGCCCCAGCTCAGGCCAGATGCCTTGCCTTGTTCCTGGAGGAGGATCAGATAGGGGGTCACAGGGAGGGGGGAAGAAACATGAACCGTTGTAATTCCTGCAAGAGATAAGCAGACAGAAGGAGCTTATCCCATGCCAGTGTGTATGTACACACTGGGGTGGGGAGGGCGGGCCAGTTAGCATATGGTTATAAAATTCAGGGATGTGAGAATCAGGACTCAAAGCTGGAGAAACTAATAAGAGAAAGAGGCACAGGCAGGAAGATTCACTGAGAACAAATATTTATTGAGTTCCTGAGGTATGAGAAACTGAATGTGAGGTAGGAGCAGCGAGAGCTGAGAACAGAGACAGAAAAAAAATTTAAAAAAAATAAACAGGCTTAGAAAGACAGTGGAATAGTTAATAAAAGGTTGACTGAGATTTAACTATGAGAGAGAGAGAGAGAAACAGAGAGAGAGAGAGACGTTTCAAAGAGATAAAGATAAATCATGATGGATAAAGAAAGGGACTAAGACACACAGGGAAGGGAGGAAGAGATGGGGGAATGGTCGGAATGGAGACAGAAAGAAGCTCACGGCGTCTTTGCTAAAGGTCACCCTCACTAAGGGCTGGAAGATTTGGACTCATCTTTTCCTTGCACCGTTCTGACTGCCCTGAACCCTGCACACTCACACAAAAGACACTCTGACCCAGGCACACACTCAGCACACACCATCACAAATCACAATTCACTCTTGGCTTCCTTCCTCTCACACACATGCTCACACACAGGCGTGCTCTCACACCCACATGCACACACAGGTAACTTCCCTCTCTCCCACACTCTCCCAGTTTCACATACACTTTTGTACACTCCCCAGCAGAGATCCCATATGCACTGAGGGGCTGATTGTCTACTCAGGAAAGGATGGGACTTGCCAAGGTCATGCTCTGGACAGGGAAGAGCTGGCCCAGCTCTCTACTCCCTAAGCTGAACTAGGAGATGACCCATGTCTGATCTGCTCTCCCAGGCCCTTGGGGTTATGGGAGCTGGGGAGGCACCAAGGAATGTGCCTGGCATGTGCTGACAGGGGATTTCATGGTCCAGCTGGGCCAGGAGGAGCCTGCTGGGCGGAGGCTGGAGTTGGAGACTCAGGAGTGGCTTGGCTCTGCCACTGTCTGCCTCTTTGCTCTCCTGGGCTGATGGGGCTCACTGGACTCTGAGCAGCAAGTCTTTTTTTTTTTTTTTTTTTTTTTTGTGGAACTGTGAGTGGTGGAAGAGGGTGAAGGGGCAGGGGGTAGCAGGAGAGAAGAGAAACAGACTGTCAAGGAGATGGATGGACAGATGGATGGATAGATGGATGGATTGAGGTGGAGAGACAGGCCAAGGGTGGTGGTGGGGGGGGATTCAGAGAGTTGCTCAGAGAGAAAGAGCCTGAGGCAGGGAGAAAAAGAGACAGAGGAGGAGACTCAGAGAGCCTGGGACAGAGGGAGAATGAGATGGAGATAAAGAGACACTCCCGGAGAGAGGAAAATGGAGAGAGTTGGAAAAAGAGACTAAAAGAGAACAAGAGACAAAGACGCAGAGAGAGGGAGTCAGAGAAAGGTAGTGGCAGACATACGTGGCAGCCAATGAGCACTGTGGGAGCCACGGCCAGAGGAACTGGAATGGCCCTGAGGACACCCATCAGGGCTCCCCTGATGCTCATGGGGCTGCTGACCACAGGTGAGTGGGACACTGACTCTGTACCCAGTGCCAAATGGCCTTCATTTCCTACCTTTTAGACAAACCTCTGCCCCTTCTTGCTGATCCTTTTGTGTCTCCAGGCCTGGCTCAGTTGCCAATCCCTGCCTCGGCCCCTCGTGGTTTCTGGGCCCTGTCTGAAAACCTGACGGCTGTGGAGGGGGCCACAGTTGAGCTGCGGTGCGGGGTCACTGCCCCTGGCAGTGTGGTACAATGGGCCAAGGATGGGCTACTCCTAGGCCCCGACCCTGGGATCCCGGGCTTCCCGAGGTACCGCCTCAAAGGAGATCCTGCTAAAGGTGAGAGATCAGAGCCTGAGACTCTGAGCCACCAGCAGAGGCTGTGGCCTTAACCCTCTGGGCCTCTTCTGCAGGTGAATTCCACCTGCACATTGAAGCATGTGACCTCAGCGATGACGCCGAGTATGAGTGCCAGGTCAGCCGCTCAGAGATGGGCCCCGAGCTCCTGTCTCCCAGAGTCATCCTCTCCATCCTGGGTATGGGTGAGAGACCCCCAGGACCCTCAATTCTGGGCTTCTAGTCCTCTTCTTCCCCAGGACATGGGAGCTGATGGTCCCAGATCCTCCTCCCCCAGATCCTGGGTACAAAACTCATTTCGGAGCAAGGAGACTTGGCCCACATCCTCCTGTCCTTCAAGTGGTGGGGGCTGATTCTACATCCTTTCTCATCAGTTCCCCCCAAGGTGCTTCAGCTGACCCCTGAGGCAGGGAGCACAGTCACCTGGGTAGCTGGGCAGGAGTATACGGTCAGCTGTGTGTCTGGGGATGCAAAGCCAGCACCTGATATCACCTTTCTCCAAAGTGAGTGTGGGTGAACTGGTGGGGTCAGTGTAATGTCCCTGGACTAGGGAGTCCATGTGTTATGCTAGGTGCCTTCCTAGGGACCCAGAAAATATAACCAAGATAGGACCCTGGAGTAGGCAAAGGGAGAAGCTGAGGCCCGAATGGGATGCACTGGATGGGAGGGGACACCGGGGGGAGGCATCCAGGAGACCACAGGAATGCTGGTCGGGGGCCTGGAAGAAGCCAAGATTCAGGCAAGATGTGGGCAGTGAGGGTAGCACAGGAAAGAAAAGCTGAGGTGATGGGGGCATGGGGTACAACCTAATAAAGATGCCAACAGAAAGAAGAGGCCCAGGACCTGAGAACTCCAATCATTTGGGAAAATTCCAGGGAACAGAAGTGAGGGAGTCCTAAGTCTTACAAGATAACAGGAATTTCCAGGGGACGAAGCTGGCACCTCAGGTTCTTTTCCTCCAGAACCAGGAGGAAGGGGGCATCATGACCACCCCAGAATCTACTGTGGGGAGTGCCCAGCACCCCTGCAGCCCTCTTGTTGCCCCAAGGTGGACAAACAATATCTGATGTTTCTGCTAACGTGAACGAGGGGTCCCAGGAGAAACTCTTCATGACAGAGGCCACAGCCAGGTAAGTCAGATCCTGAATTCCTGTTTCTTCATAAGAGCTCCATAGCCCAGGTATTCAGGCTGGAAACTCAGGCTGGGTATAAACATCTGGGACTCAATTCTTTACCCAACACCCAAAACTTCTTCAAGGGAACCCCAGTTTCAGGATATTAAGTATAAACATTTGGGGCCAGTATGGCCCCCTGAAGCCCTAATTCTTATTGCTAAAGCCCCAAATCCTTCCCATGGGACTCCAGATCTTAGAGGAAATCAGTATGGAGACTTAGACTAGGTGTGGAGGCCTGGGACTCCCACTTCATCAATTTCAGAAGATGACTTGGACTCCAGAATTCCAACTTCCCATCCCAGGGTGACACCCCAGAGCTCGGATAATGGGCAGTTACTAGTCTGTGAGGCATCCAGCCCAGCTTTGGACACTCCCATCAAGGCTTCCATCACCATGAATGTTCTGTGTAAGTGGAGAACTGACCCAGTTGTGGGCATGGAGGATGGGAGGCAGGATTGGGGGTCTTGGGGGATTGCAAGAATTATGGGAAATTCAGTCATGCCAAAGAGAAACATGGGAATTCAGAGTCTGGCTAAGGGGACTAGAAAGAATGAATGGACTCCCCAGGCCTACTGAGTGGCTATTGCTCCCCAGTCCCCCCAGGACCCCCTGTCATCCAGTGGCCAGGCCTGGAAGAAGGGCACGTGAGGGCAGGGCAGAGCCTGGAGCTGCCGTGCACAGCACGAGGGGGAAATCCGCCAGCCACACTACAGTGGCTGAAGGTGAGGGCAAAGGCCAACATGGAAGGCTGGGGGAGAGCCAGAGCCAGGAACGGGCTCTGAGCTGTTCTAGGTCTGACCCTATCTCCAGAATGGCCAGCCTGTGTCCACAGCGTGGGGCACAGAGCATGTTCAGGCAGTGGCCCGCAGTGTGCTGGTGATGACCGTGCAGCCAGAAGACCACGGAGCGAGGCTCAGCTGTGAAGCCTACAACAGCGTATCTACAGGGACCCAGGAACAAAGCATCACGCTACAGGTCACCTGTGAGTCCTAGTGCTAGCTGTCTGTCAGCCCGTGTCCCCACATCATGCTTTTCCATTGCCATCTGGGTCCCATCCCCTTGTCTGTCTAGGCTGGTTCTGTGAGGAACCCAGTTCAGTCCAGGGTCTCTCTCTGTCCGTCTGTCCCGCAGTTCCCCCTAGTGCCATTACCATCCTGGGATCTGCGTCACAGACTGAGAACAAGAACGTGACACTGTGCTGTATCGCCAAGTCCAGTCGCCCTCGGGTCCTGCTGCAGTGGTGGCTGGGGGGCCGGCAGCTGCTTCCTACCGACGAAACAGTCATGGATGTGAGGAGGGGGCTGAGCCAGGCGGGGGGCTGAGGGCACAACTTCTGGAGCGGGGACAAGAAGGCTCAGAGGCCTTGTCCTTGAGAATCGTGGCCTGGGGCCCCCTGAATCCCGCATCTGACTAGGAGGAGGTCAAGATGTGCCCTTGCTGGGGTCTGAGGTAGGCCCAGGGGTCTGGTACCATGGGTGGGGATGTTTTAGTCCCCAAGTCCCAAATCTCATTCTCTGCTAGGGCCTGCATGGTGGCCACATCTCCATGTCTAATCTGACGTTCCTGGTGCGGCGGGAAGACAATGGCCTGACCCTCACCTGCGAGGCCTTCAGTGAGGCCTTCGCCAAGGAAACTTTCAAGAAGTCGCTCACCTTGAATGTGAAATGTGAGTCCCTATCCTGATCCAGGAATGCCACCAGGCCCCACAGATCCCACCCTGAGGCCCCAGCCCAGAGTCAAAGTCACCCTCCAGCCTCTCCCTGCAGATCCTGCCCAGAAGCTGTGGATTGAGGGACCACCAGAGGGGAAGTATCTCAGGACTGGGACCCGGGTGAGGCTGGTGTGTTTGGCCATTGGGGGCAACCCAGACCCCTCCCTCACCTGGTACAAGGTCAGTGCCAGCAAGGGTTGTCGGGTGACCAGGAATTTGGGGAAGGATGAGGACCCTCCTCTCCTTCGGAATCTTTGGAGATCTTGGAAAAACCTTAATTTCTTGAAAAATACTGGAGATTCTGAATTTTGGTAGGGAATTGTAAGAGAAAAAAAATGTCATGAGAATTATATGGAATCTTAAGGAAAATTCTGGGAATTCTGGAAAAACAATTCCAGGATAAAAGAAGGAATTCTGAATCAAGATTGGGAATTCTAGAGATAAAGGCAATTAATTCCATTAAAGTTAAAAGAAATTCTGGAGAAAAATTCAATTCAGGGAAAATGTCAAGAATTTTAGGGAAAAACCAGGAATTCAAAAAACAAAACAAACAAACAAAATGACAATGATATTTTGGGCAAAGGCTAGATATTTGGGGGAAAAGACTAGTGATTTCACAGAACATTGAAAATCCTTTAATATTAAATTGAATTCTTGAGATACATAGGTAAGAAAATAAAGTTCCATTAAAATTAAAGGAAATGGGATAGAATTCTGGGAAAATTCTAGCAAGTTAGGGAGCTACTGTAAATTCTGGAGGAAAAAAAAACTAGGAATTATAGGCTGGCAACAGGATTCCATTTTAATTGAATGGAATTCTGGGGAAATACCAAGAATTGGGGCAACACATTGGATTCTAGTGATTAGGATAATAAGGGAATATTGAGAAAAAAGATCAGAACTCTGCAGAAGTCACTGGAATTAAACGAAAGGTCAAAGGGAGTGGGGATGTTAAGTAAAAGAACTGAGGATAGGAAAAAGGGAAGGGAAGAATAGGTGTGGAGACCTGGGACTCCCACTTCATCAATTTCAGAAGATGACTCTGACTCCAGAATTCCAACTTCCCATCCCAGGGTGACACCCCAGAGCTCAGATAATGGGCAGTTACTAGTCTGTGCCCAAGATTTGGGAATTTCAAGGACATTTCTGGTACATAGTGTGGTTAATATTGAAGAAGTGGAATTTGAGGAGTGGGGCAGAGGGTCCTGGGGGACTGGGGAGGTGGGGCGAGGCAGGAGGCGGGATCTCAGGGGGCTCAGGGAAAGAGGGAGAGACTTGGGGTTAGGGGTTCTGAATTCCTGGTCCACTTCTTAACTCTAGGGGGATGCCAGTTGATGGGAATGCCTTTTCCTTATCACACAAAGGCCTGGTCTGGTCTGGCGATGACCAATCCAATAGGGTCGTCTCAGGACTGGGTGGGGAAGGGCAGGGCTACCTGCGGTCCCCAGCCAGTCCCGGTCCTCAGAACTCCCGAGTGGTGACGGAGCAGCGGCTGCAGCAGGAGTCCCGGCGGGTGCACCTGGGAAGTACCGAGAAGTCTGGGAGCACCTTCTCCCGCGAACTGGTGCTGGTCGCAGGTCCATCGGACAATCAGGCCAAGTTTTCGTGCAAGGCGGGCCAGCTTATAGTGTCCACGCAGCTGGTGGTGCAGTGTGAGGATGCCAAAGGACGGGACGGGCGGAGGGTTTGGCTGGCGTGGGGTACAGACTACACAGCCAGGCCGGGGTGTGTGGCCTCCCAGACACCAAGTGGTGGGCGGGGCCGGGCTGGGGACTGCAGACTGGGCAGGGTCTGGGGTCGAGATGCTGTGAAAGTAGGCCAGGGGTCTCCTGACTCAGCCTCGCTCCTCTGACCCGCTAAGTTCCTCCGACTAATTTGACGATCCTGGCCAACGTGTCTGCGCTGCGCCCAGGGGACGCCTTAAACTTGACGTGTGTCAGCATTAGCAGCAACCCACCAGTCAACTTGTCCTGGGACAAGGAGGGGGAGAGGTGAGAGTGTGAGGCTCCGCCCTTCCAAGGTTCGGTTCACACCCAGTCGGTTCTGGTCCCACCTGAGACTGTTGGGCCCTAGAGACTGTTGGAGTAACAGCCCTCCAATCTCTAGTTTTGGTCCCACCCTGGCACCAGCCCTGGCTGACCCAACTGTCTGCGGTGTGCACAGGCTGGAAGACGTGGCCGCACCTCCCCAGAGCGCCCCGTTCAAAGGCTCTGCTGCGTCCAGGAGCGTTTTTCTTCAAGTGTCATCCCGCGACCACGGCCACCGTGTCACCTGCCGCGCCCACAGTGCAGAGCTCCGCGAAACCGTGAGCTCCTTCTACCGCCTCAATGTGCTGTGTACGTGGGTTGGTCTGTAACCCTTGATCCCCTCCTGACCCTAAACTACTCCAGTCTTCACCTTGACACTGTCCTTAGCCACTACCCCAATCCTGTTACTTTCCTACCTTTATCCTGATCCCTGCCCCAACTCCTATTTGCCCCAACCCCTAACCCCTATCCTGACCCCTTTCTCCATCCTTCAGCCTGACGTTGGTTCTAGACTTTTCCTAAACTGAATTTTAACGTCTATCCTGTTACCTCTCCCCCAACCCTAGTCCTTCCTTACTCCGGCTTTAACCCTTAGACCTGTGCCTGATCTCAATTCTATTCCTGACCCCGACTTTAACAACACTCTTGACTCCCTGCGGCTCTCCCTCTGAAGACCGTCCAGAGTTCCTGGGGGAGCAGGAGCTCGTGGTCACCGCGGTGGAGCAGGGCCAGGCACTGCTGCCTGTGTTGGTGTCCGCTAACCCCGCTCCAGAGGCCTTCAACTGGACCTTCCGCGGCTATCGCCTAAGCCCAGGTGCGGGAAGGGGACGCAGAGCTGGGTGTGGGTTCCTGGTGATGGGAGGGTCCGCCACGCCCCTTACCCTGACTTTCCCCAGCTGGAGGTCCCCGGCACCGCATCCTGTCTGGTGGGGCTCTGCAGCTATGGAACGTGACGCGTGCAGACGATGGCTTCTACCAGTTGCACTGCCAGAACTCAGAGGGCACCGCTGAAGCCCTAGTGCGGCTGGACGTGCATTGTGAGCCC